TGAAAACAACCCACTAAGTCTTAGTCGGCAGCCCCATTGCCATTTAAGACTAAATAGCAATGATGTATATAATTTAACATAAGTATCCATATTTTATTAATGCTTTTTAACGTTAGTTTGCACAATTGTATAATAGTGCGACCACCTTTGATGGATGAGATATAAAATGATAATTTTCTGTTAAAAGAAAATAAATAATCACACAGCTAGCCTTAAGGTTTGAGAATGAATACGGTGGTAGTTAGTATAAAAATATTCTAAATTTATCGGATTTATTGTTTGTTCCTCTCATATTTTTTGAAAATGAAAAATTTGATCCATTTTTATAATGTATTTTTTTTTATGGAAAAACTGCCAACGCCGCCGAGATTTAATGTGCAAAGTCTCCAATTATAGTACAAAGAAGAAAATAAATATCCACACCACAGCTACAAACATTTCAGTGAGTGTATGAAGAAAATAAATAATCATATAGCTAGCCTTAAGGTTTGAGAATGAATGCGGTGGTGGTAAGTATAAAAATCTTCTAAATTTATCGGATTTATTGTTTGTTCTCCTATTGTTTTTTAAAATGAAAAACTTGAGCAGAGAGAGGTACGGGGGGTACCATTTTTTGGAAAATATTTTCGTCGTAAAATATCTGTACATCTAAATTCTCTAATATAGGCATTATTTCTGATGTGGGATGGGATTTGTAACATAAAAGTATGAATTCATTTCTACACATGATCTTTTATAAACCCTCAATAAATAAAAATAATAAGTTTTGTTATTCCATTTATCAAATGAATGAAACTGAAACAAAAGCTTCTATTGGGACATTATGTCTAAAATCTGATAATACTCCTCCAATAAATATGGGAATCAAACAAAGAAATAAGGAGGAAGATTAAATATATGTATATTTTTATTAAGTACATTTCTCATAAAGCATTTTTTTATGACATATCAGGGTTACTCCTTTGGATAAACACTCCTTCTTCCAAAGCAAAGTATTGTAATAACGATGCAAGACCAATTTGTCATAGTAATATTGCCATAAAAATGGTAGACATTTATATGTGCCGTCGTCCTCTCCTAGGGCGGTCATAATATAATCCTCGTCGTGGCAGTAACTGGTGAATACCAGGAAGGCATGCAAATACCTAATTCTTGCATGCAATTTGTAGAAAAATAAAAAAATACTATTATTAGTCTAATACTCTTATATAGTATTATTATAATAATATAAAAATATAAAATCTTTTTTTACATAATACAAAGTAATAAGAATTACAATTTATTTAAAAAAGCATTTTAGGTATTGCCAAACACTGCCCAAAAAATAAAGGATATTTGTTATTAAAAGTTGGTATAGGGTACATTTTTTATTATTTTTTGCTTTTGGTACATAGTTTAAAAGATACATTGTAATAATAAAAAAATTCAACAGTATACATTCCTCATTAGATTGTATAACTAAGTATATGTACATTTTTATTGTTGTTATTACCAATACTTTTATACATTTCTGTTATGAAAATGAAATAAATAAAAAATACAAATATCCTTCACCTCTTCGCCCATTCCCCCTCTTCTTCCTTCACTACATCAAGAAAATCTACATCCTCAAATTCTTCCTCTTCTTCCTTCACTACAGCATGAAAATCTACATCCTCATATTCCTCCTCCTTTACTACATTAACTCCATAATCAAGTATTTTGCAATGTAGTGGTGGTGGTGGTGGTGGTGGTGGTGGTGGTGGTGATGTTGGGGATATGTGTATTTTTCTATGAACCAGGTTTCCCGGCCAAGAATATTTTTTATTATAAAACTTACATTCCAAAGAGCTGTGACTCTCATCCATCACTGTAGGAAAATCTACATCCTCAAATTCCTCCTCTTCTTCCTTCACTACATCATGAAAATCTACATTCTCAAATTCCTCCTCTTTTATATAAGGAAAATCTACATCCTCCCATTCCTCCTTTACTACATCAACTCCATCATCAGGTATTTTGCAATTGTCGTTATCCTCCTCGTCCTCTGGTAGTGATGGTGGGGATATATGTGTTTTTCTATGTTTAACCAGGGCTTGCGACCAAGAATATTTTTTATTACAAAACCAAAACTCACATTCAAAAGTTTTCTTAGATCTGCCGCCGTGGATCAACAGGTGTTTGTGAAGGCTCCTTGTACTACCTAAAATCTTGCCACATACACTACAGCGAAACTTTTCCTCTTGTGTGTGTATTTTTCTATGTTCAACCAGGTTGTCCGGCCGAGAATATTTTTTATTACAAAACTCACATTCCAAAGTTTTCTTTGATCTAAGATGCAACTGATGATGGCGACTAAGGTTCCTTATATTACTTAAATTCTTTCCACATATATTACAGCGTTTTGTCTCCTGTATGTGTGTTTTTCTGTGTTCATTCAGGTTAGTTTGCCAATAATATTTCTTATTACAAAACTCACATTTAAAAGTTTTCTCTCTTTTCTCGCCGTGGATCAACAGGTGTTCGTGAAGGCTCCTTGTACTACCTAAAATCTTGCCACATACACTACAGCGAAACTTTTCCTCTTGTGTGTGTATTTTTCTATGTACAACCAGGTTTCCCGGCCAAACATATTTCTTATTACAAAACTCACATTTAAAAGTTTTCTCTCTTTTCTCATTATCATAATCACTATGGAGCAGTAACAGGTGTTTACGAAGATATCCTTTACTACTTAAATTCTTGTCACATACGTTACAGCGAAATTTTCCTTCTTGTGTGTTTTTTTTGTGTTCATCCATAATTATGAAGCAGCAACAACAGGTGTCTACTTAAATTCTTTCTCCTTCTGTGTGTGTATATTCAGGACAGGTGTATATTCAGGCCAGTTTCTCCATTAAGTTCTACTTTGCCACACACTTGTCATATAACTTTACAATTCGTCTGTAGCCAGTCTACTAGTCAACAAACAATTTACTCCTCTCTATATATAAACAGATTTCGAGCTATGACGCAACTGGAGGTGGGGAAGGTTGCTGTTACTTATAACTATTTAACTACTTTTCGCCATCACTATGGTAGGAAATCTAAAATAGTGTATTTTGTTTTGTATAGTATGGTAACATTTTTATTGTTGTTGGTTGTACATGAGTTGATACTGTTACACAGTACTTTTATACATACAAGTATAGATTACATTCCTCCTTCATCTCTTCTCTCATTCTCCCTCTTCTTCCTTCACTATACCAGGAAAATCTACATCCGCAAATCCTTCCTCTTCTTCCTTCACTACAGCAGGAAAATCTACATAAACAGATTTCGAGCTATGACGCAACTGGAGGTGGGGAAGGTTGCTGTTACTTATAACTATTTAACTACTTTTCGCCCGCCCGCCACATGAAAACTTTACCTACGGGGGTTTCAAGTTTTTCTTTACTAGTGCGTGTGGGTGGTATTTTTGTTTTATTATTAAAAGTTAGTATATGAGTACATTTTTATTGTTGTTATTACCAATACTTTTATACATTTCTGTTATGAAAATGAAATAAATAAAAAATACAAATATCCTTCACCTCTTCTCCCATTCCCCCTCTTCTTCCTTCACTACATCAAGAAAATCTACATCCTCAAATTCTTCCTCTTCTTCCTTCACTATAGCAGGAAAATCTACATCCTCATATTCCTCCTCCTTTACTACATTAACTCCATAATCAAGTATTTTGCAATGTGGTGGTGGTGGTGGTGGTGGTGGTGGTGGTGGTGTTGGGGATATGTGTATTTTTCTATGAACCAAGTTTCCCGGACAAGAATATTTTTTATTATAAAACTTACATTCCAAAGAGCTGTGACTCTCATCCATCATATGAACCAGATTTCCCAGCCAAGAACATTTTTTATTATAAAACTTACATTCCAAAGAGCTGTGACTCTCATCCATCACTGCAGGGAAATCTACATCCTCAAATTCCTCCTCTTCTTCCTTCACTACATCATGAAAATCTACATTCTCAAATTCCTTCTCTTCTTCCTCCTTCACTATATCAGGAAAATCTACATCCTCCCATTTCTCCTTTACTACATCAACTCCATCATCAGGTAATTTGCAATTGTCGTTATCCTCATCGTCCTCTGGTAGTGATGGTGGGGATATATGTGATTTTAAAAAATCTAAATCCTCCCATTCCTCCTTTACTACATCAACTCCATCATCAGGTATTTTGCACTTGTCGTTATACTCCTCGTCCTCTGGTAGTGATGGTGGTGATGGTGGGGATATATGTGTTGTCTCCTGTATGTGTGTTTTTCTGTGTTCATTCAGGTTAGATTGCCAATAATATTTCTTACTACAAAACTCACATTTAAAAGTTTTCTCTCTTTTCTCATCATCACTATGCGTGTATCTATGACTAGTCAGGCTTCCTGGCCAAAAATACTTTTTATTACAAAACTCACATTCAAAAGTTTTCTCTCTTTTATCACTATGGCTAAACTGGTGATGGCGAAGGCTTTGTTTACTATTTAAATTCTTTCCACATATATTACAGCAAAATGAGGATATCTGCTGATGTTTATAACTGTGTCTATTCAGGTCAGTTTGCCTATAATATTTCTTATTACAAAACTCACATTCAAAAGTTTCCTTTGATTTGCATTTATAAGTTTTCTCTCTTTTCTCATCATCACTATGCGTGTATCTATGGGTCGTCAGGCTTCCCGGCCAAAAATATTTTTTATTACAAAACTCACATTCAAAAGTTTTCTCTCTTTTATCGCTATGGCTAAACTGGTGATGGCGAAGACTTTGTTTACTACTTAAATTCTTTCCACATATATTACAGCAAAATGGGGATATCTGCTGATGTTTATAACTGTGTCTATTCAGGTCAGTTTGCCTATAATATTTCTTATTACAAAACTCACATTTAAAGGTTTTCAAGTTTTCATCACTATGGAGTAGCAACAGGTGTTGACTAAAGTTCCGTGTACTACTTAAAATCTTGTCACATACGTTACAACGAAATTTTTCTTCCTGTGTGTGTGTTTTTCTCAGGGCGGTCATAATATAATCCTCGTCGTAGCAGTAACTGGTGAATACCAGGAAGGAATGCAAATACCTAATTCTTGCATGCAATCTGTAGAAAAATAAAAAAATACTATTATTAGTCTAATACTCTTATATAGTATTATTATAATAATATAAAAATATAAAATCTTTTTTTACATAATACAAAGTAATAAGAATTACAATTTATTTAAAAAAGCATTTTAGGTATTACCAAACACTGCCCAAAAAATAAAGGATATTTGTTATTAAAAGTTGGTATAGGGTACATTTTTTATTATTTTTTGCTTTTGGTACATAGTTTAAAAGATACATTGTAATAATAAAAAAATTCAACAGTATACATTCCTCATTAGATTGTATAACTAAGTATATGTACATTTTTATTGTTGTTATTACCA